CTCCGTCAAGTTACATCATCCGTTACTTCAGCAGTCGCCCATGCGTGGAGGTGGGGATTTGTAATCCCCGAGAGAAGACACTTTTCTCGATTACTCATAGTATCTAACTACGGAATATTCATTCTGCCAAGTCCGTTTTTGACCTGCCCAGTAGTTAGGTTTAGTTACAGCTTCGTCCAGATCACGTGATTCTGGGCCCATCTCCACACATCTTTCCTTTCCTTGCATAGATATTAACTCCGTTGCAACAGTAACGTCAAAGCTTCCTTGTCATTTCGTGTTTCCTGGGATAGTCACGTGCTGAGCACCGCCGGGTAGAAAGAGAGGGCTATCGACCGCCTCATTGCACCTGGAACCCTCCAACGCAGTATTAGGTGGAGGTGCCGTTCCGCGGCTATGGAGGGAAATACAGCCACTCTGAGAAGGTCGGGAGTGATGACAGGTCCGCAATGTCAGGCTGCAGAAGCTGGAGCTCCTCATTGCCGAAGAGATTGGTGGGAGCGTTCCGGAGATTGCTCGGCTGCACTGGGTCCGAAGCCGGGCGTAGAGGGCATCCGTCCGCAGTCGGTGCCGAATCCGACGTGAGCCGGTCAAGAATCACCAGGAAATGCGTCGACAGAGCGTCGTGATGCACGGACAGACTGGACAGCGTTTGTCGGGCCTCCTCGATGTCTTGGCGCCAGGAGATCGACTCGGGGACCGAGGCGTCGGCTTTCTGATGGATCACCGGCACCAGGACGGCGTGGAAGAGGCTGTAGCTGGGATTGAAAGCTCATTGTTAGATTTTAAGCACTGTACAGCTTTGGAAAATGAGGAAAGAGGGGCACAAACAGGATAAACGGTAGCGTGACGTTCGAGTACTGACGATCTTCGATGAGGCGGCAAGTGAGCCTGATGGTGCCACGGGCGAGGTTAAGACCACTCGTCCGGCATTGCCGCTCGCTGAGATGCTCTCCTAATCCGGACTGCCCGGGCGAGATCTGTTTCCTCCGTAGCCAATCTAAGAGCGCGGGTCGATGGATGAGAAGTCGAAGACTTCTATCGCACAGCATTTGCCGGTCGCGCGCATGGATGGCCCAGGATGGGAGTCGATCGGCCGGGGTTTGACGAATGCAGAACGTGAGATTATTGTGCCAGTCATTGATCTTCTGTTCGTATGCCTTGATATTCTCGGGGTTGGTCGTGTCGGCGACAAGGGTGCGATGATAGATATCATTGGCCATGCGGTGATAGCTGGCCTGGAGTATCAATCCCGAATAGATCGTCCACTCGTCCCTTTCGACCGGACGTGACCGGCTGTTTTCAGTTAGGTCCTTGTCATTGTACGCGTTAGCAGAGACTTCAACGGTGATTCGCTGGCGCAAGTCTAGGTACCTCATCTGCGATGTTGAGCACCGGTTTGACGGTGATCAAACTATCGTCCGGCAGCAGGAGGGGGAGACCAAATATCTTGGACGCACAGCTATCCAAGCAATAGACACTCCACCACACACGCCTCCGAATCTCGTGTGCCAACAGAGTGTCCTCGGAGCCGGAGGCTGTTGACTCTTGATGAAGCCCCAGATTAACTGCAGTTCGTGTGGCGACCCCAAGACAGGTCCAGCCATCTTTCGGTTGGCCGTATCTCTGGTAGTAATCGCTCATCAGTAGAAGCGCTTGGATCAGGCTTAAAGACGCCTGATCGAAGATAGAAAAGCAGTCGAGCCGCCTCTTGGCCTGCTGTGAGAAGCTGTGACTGTGGCGCCAGTCGCCGGCGTCTTGGAGTGACCACGACCCCATGGCCAAAATCATATCACGAAGAATCAGCCAACCAACATCTTGTGCTGTATCGAGCTGATGTTCGTACTGTTTCAGAAATGTGGATTGATGCACAAAAGGGAAGACCGGGTGATAGTGTTCAAAATACGCACGGACTAGTCTTGCCTCGTCTGGAACGAGCGTTTCGACGCCGCCGGGTTGAGGGATCGGTAATAGAGTATCATCCAGGGGGATGGAGGCATCCAGTACGAGATTAGTGGGCCCATCGGGGAACGTGGTGAGTGATAGATCTATCAGATCCTGTCAGTGCAAATCCCCACGACGACCCCAAGTCGCAACAGACCTTCTTGTATGGAAGACAGGGGTGGAGCATCAGGGACCTCGAGATCAAGCGGGAGATCGGAGACGGAGGTGAATTCGGTGCTTGGGGTCCCCGAGGGCACGTGAAGATCCGCTGAATCATTGAGTAGGGATTTAATAATAGTATCGAGAGCACCGCCAGGAAACAACTTGCTCAAGGCGGTTTCAAGCGTTTCCAGTCTATCTTCGACTGCAGTAAGATGCCTTTGGAATGGGTTAGCAAGCCGGATCATCATCGCAACGATCAATCTCCAACACATACCGGCGTGTCAAAGGCGACCTGACGACCTTGTCAGGATACACACAGGGTTTGTTCAGTTGTCTGCAGAGCGCACACGACGGCCGAGTCTTGGTACACTTTCAGAGTATCAGTCTGCCTGCGTCAAATGAGGGGCAGCCGACCGAGCTTCACCTTTGCTTTCCGAGCTCGGCATTCAATGCACTATACAGATAGATTAGCAGCGGGTCCCAGTTGGCCAAGGGCAAAACATACAGCCGGTATATGGGAGTTCCTAGCCAGGCTAGTCTGGTCAAGCTGTGGAAGACCATCCATAGCACTGGAGTGTAATTCCAAATTCGGTGTGAAGAATGAGGTCTTCACAATGGGGCGAAGCTCGTGTGTGACATTTCCTGCACGGTTTTGTTGGCCATTTGCACCAAGTAACTTGCTGTAATCTGGGCGGAACCAAACAACATGGCTGTGGCGGGCGGTGAGCGGCCAGTCCGGAAGGATATACGAGTACGCCACTGTGGAAAATAGAATCTGCCGGCAGAAGAATAAGAGCTGGGGGGATCAAACCTCTACATAAACCTCAAAAACCCTAGTAAAAATGGATTCACGAAGAAAGACGCTTCGATAACAGAGCTTCGGCCTCTAAAAGACCTACATATTCTAAGATAATCGGGGGCTGTGAGATCACGTGACCAAGGGCTTTGAGGGGCTTGAGAGAGCTTTAGAAGAGGAGGAGGGGCTTACAAAGGTATAATCCCATAAGCTTAAGGGTCAGTGCGGACGGAAGGGTGGCTACAGAGAGTCCTAGAGGCGGTTACTACTGCAGTGAGGATACTGAGCAAGGGAATTCGCTTTTGCAGAGTGACCGTTATATCCTTCCGTAGGCCTGACTACCGAAGGCCTCAGGGCCACCGACAGAAAAACAACTAACTTGATACTGTGAAGAGCTACAGCTCAAGAGCCGGGATGTCGAGGATTTGTGGGATCATTCTTCAGAAACATTAGATCCACTACTCCCGAGTCGCTGAGATTTTCCTCACAAAAGTTTTGTCAAGTGGCGATTCAACTGTATCTTCCGCAGCTTGACCCCGTAGATACCAGACCAGAGAAGAAGGGTACGTCGATTATATGAGTTAGCGGGGATGAATTACTATGCCAGGTGACAGAATGATACAGATAAAAGAACTTAATGCTCTGGACAAGTACTGTACTGTACCTAGGGATTTGGTTAGCAAATCGAACAGCTTGCCCCACACGAGACCAAGCTGCCAGACACCCACCTCGTCTCACCAAATAGCAAACCATCAAATAGAAGTATGCTCCGTATCTCGAAAACCTTTCACAGTGCACTGGAGAAAGGCTCGTGTCAATTAGACATCGACAAGCCCTAGGTCTGTCCAGCGCGAGATAAAAATAGTCTTCCAGTCCCGAAGTGACCCAGCTATACCTTGCGTCCAAATCTCCGAGCTTACGTATTTTGTATACCCCTTCCAATCTAGACAGTATCAAGCTAGATCCTCTAAGAAGAGATGAGAGGATTGTGCATAGGATAAGACATGAGCGTCTCATTCTGAAACCACCGGCACACGAGTTTGAGGACCACGTCAATTATATGCTTTCGTGAATAAAGTAGTCTGTCTATGACAACAATCCGTCGTGTAAGTGCAGGAGCAGAATCATAAGCAAAAGAGAAATGTAGCAGAGACAATCAGCAGAGAGCGTTGGACGGGCGGTGGGTATAGGATAGGTCCAAAGTGCCCTAAAGGTCAGGCAGGTCACTTCGCAGAAAGATACGTAGCATGCATCAATAGACTGGCTCATTGACCAAATATTGCCCACTCCTAACGATTTTTATATGCCGCATACTGATGGCTTATGAAGGAAATCTCTCAAGTCAGAATCTGCTAGGTAAGGCAGACCCCCAAACAAGCATAGGCCCTACCTTGTGAGCAGAAGTCTAGCCCAGTGAAAGTCCGGAGCCCCCCTCAATTGAGACAAAGCGAATGGTTCAGATCAGATCGGTTCACGAAAATAGACACGTTTTGTGAGTTGAGCAAGAGTAGCGGTCAGAGTATCCAATGCCGCCACTCCAGCCAGACCTGACACCTTGAAACATCTCCTTTCCCCATCGACCAACTCAAGAAGCTCCAGACGGCATCAGTGAAAAGACTCCACTACTCCAGATTACGTACAAGCATACGCTCATCAACCCTTGCCCAGCACAAAGACAGTTAGGGAGCGAGGAAACCCACCCAATCGAGGAACTGAGAGATATAGGCGTGGCTGGGGGAATTTTGCACACGCAAGGGGGCCCAGGGCCCAGGGGTTTATTGGCAAACTTCTTTGTTGAGCGACATAACTACCTCAGGAGCAGCATTCCTGCGCGCGACATGCCTCATCTGATGATCTGATGGACCCCACAACGAAGTACCGAGCCAATCCTTCTGACCAAGCCTCCAACGAATGGAGGACCGGGTTGCATCCCTTGCGGATCAAGGCGAGCGAAAATGTCTCCCCTCGCCTTGAAATCCTTGAACTTGGACCACGGTGCCGCCAACCTGAGGGCTAAAGGCGCCATTTCCCTCTCCTCTGCCCCCATTCCTTAAGCTGGGAAGATGACCGGCGGCTTGGGGAGAAAAGCAACTCTTTCCCTCGCCGAGAGTCAAAGAATTGGAGCAGCGCGAGTATGGGTTGACGAGGTCAACAAGGTCAAGGTTGTTTTCTTTCTTTTTAACCAGCCGATTGCATTGCACTCTTGATCCACGCTTCAGGGTTTCCCTCCGTTGAGAAAGCTGTTTCACCTTGTGTCACCGTCACCGTCACCGTCACCGAGAAAGCAGACAAGCATGTTTTGCCTCGACCATCGGCAGGACCCGACGGTTCAGGCGCTGCGGGAACACATCGAGAGCGACGCGGAGTTGATCGAGCTGTTTGCGACGGCATTTAGTGAGATCCCCGAGGAGTTTCTGGACAGATCCAAGCACACTGGGCCTGCCCACATCCGCGACTACAGTGCCTTGCTCGACAACATCGACCAGGTGATCCAGACGGTGCCCTCGTGGACGTCGGCGGTGGAGCAGAACTGCGTGATTGCCTGTCCGATGAATGAAGTGCTGGTTCGTCTCCCTCTCTGCCGCCACATCAACCACGCCGGACTCCAGACATGCTAACCTTCCCTCCTAGATATGGTTCATGAACACGCGAACGGGTTCACACATTCTCGCCCGCGAGGACATCAACGCGCACTTCTACGCCATCCTCCAGAGATGGGGCCAATACCTGGCCTCCGCTGAATCCGCCGAGGCCATCCACAACGGCAAGGGCGGGTGGGTATCCTCCGGCGCGCTGACGGAACTCCTCGACGTCGTCGTGCACGCCCACAACACCACCTTCCGGGCGGCCTCCTTCGCCGACGCGTTCATCTGCGACTCGTCCCTCCCGAACTACGGCTTCCGCTCGTGGGACGACTTCTTCACGCGGCGGTTCCGACCCGGGATGCGACCCGTCGCCGGCCCCGAGGACGACCGCATCATCGCCAACCCCTGCGAGTCGCAGCCCTTCGCCTTGGTCAGGAACGTGCCCGCCAGCGCCCACTTCTCGCTCAAGGGGACCGTCTACTCGCTGCGGGACATGCTGGGCGACGGCAACGACACCGCCACCGCCCACCCTTCAGCGATCTTCACGGGCGGTACCGTCTTCCAAGCCTGGCTCTCCGCCTTCAGCTACCACCGCTGGCACGCCCCGGTGACCGGCACAGTCGTCAACGTCCTGAATCTCAAGGGCACCTACTTTGCCGCCGACCCGGCCAAGGGCTTCGAGAACGTCGACCCTGCCACCAAGGCGTCATGCCCTGACCGCCAGGCGCCCGATCTCTCGCTGACGATGATCTCGTCGACGGCCACCCGCACCGCTGTACTAATCAAAGCCGATAATCCGGCTCTCGGGACGGTGGGCTTGTTGGCCATCGGAATGGCGGACGTGTCGAGCTGCGTAGCCACCGTCGCGGTCGGGGACCGCGTCGTCAAGGGCCAGGAGATCGGCAGTTTCCACTACGGCGGAAGCTCGTTCTGTCTGCTGTTTGAGCCCGGGGTGGATCTAACCTTTTCACCGTTCGTCGGGGAGGCGTTGGCGCAGGATCCCGGTTATGAGGGGCGGTGTATTGCGGTAAATAGTCAGTTGGCGGCGTTATGAGGAGATTCTTTCGATCGTGGTCATGGAGCACGAGAGTTTGTCGGAGAATAAGTTAGGGCTGGGGTGATCTCGTGATGTGGACAGATGGACCGGCCAGGTGGAAGAATGGAAGAGTTCAGAGGATGATGGGCAAACGAGTTGCGGGAGACCAAGAAGGATGTCAAGTTGATGACCTGATTCTATAGTAGTCGAAGACATCAGAAACATGACTAGGGTTGGTCATGACATGACATCGGAGGTTTCTTCAAAAATAATGCTGATACGAGGTTTCAAACCCAGCCACGATGTAAAATGCACGTTGTCCGTACCTTGAGGTTGGCTGCTTCAGCCCTACACTGTGAGTTGCCTGAATTAAACCTGCAATTTGCCTCAGCCTCTCCGTCTCGATCCAATGTAGCCCACTAGTCGCAAGTGCCACTCCGGTCAACTTCTCAATCTCGTGCGACCGGCGTAGCAGACCTACTCCCAAGCGCCTATCGAAGTCATGAGGACCAACCACCAAAGGCGTTCTCCTGTCACGGCAGTGGCCTGTATTTAGCGAATGTGACGGAGATAATGAGATCAGAATATCGGCTCTAACCCAAGAATGAGATCTGAGCGAAGCGCTAGGGTGGATCGCATTCACGGATCGAAAACCCCAATGAACTAGCGTCCGCTTATCAAGCGGATCAGCGACTGCATAAGCGGACGTCAAACCCAATCAGGCCAGAGAACGGCAAGTACCGCAGATGCCGCGCACAGTCTCTTGGGTAGAAGCGTTTGAGATTGTCGGGTTTCGATCCAATGGATTTCCCGACACACGTCATCAGACCTCGCGTATACACTTGCATTGAACTAATGAGCGGGATGGGTATGTGAATGTCGATCAGTGGGATTATCGTGGCGGGGTGACCATATTAGGGGCCTGCATTGTAAAAGCACGGGCAGGTCAGCTCATTTCTCGATTTCTCTCTTCGCCATAAGCTTTAGATCCCCAGACACTACTACAGTGACACTTGCCAATGACACCAGCATTCAAAGTCATCATCGTCGGTGGAGGCCCCGTCGGGCTCACCGCCGCGCACGCTCTCCACCACGCTGGGATCGACTTCGTGGTCCTTGAGGCCCGCGATTCGGTCGTCCTTGACCAGGGCGCCAGCGTGGTCCTGGCACCACCCAGCCTGCGTGTGATGCACCAACTAGGTCTTTTGACGCGACTGTCCAAGATCAGTGGCGAGATCTACCAGGTCACCTCCTTCACGCGGGATGGATATGCGTTCGCCGAGAACACGGCCATCCATCGGGTTTTCAAAAAGAAGTGAGTGCGCTAGGCACAGCACGCCCTTCGGAGAAGGCGTCGTACACTGATACATGGGATCTCCGAATCCCGAATAGCCACGGAGCCGGCATGACCTACTTTCATCGCGCCCAGATTATCGAGAGCATCTACGATGCACTGCCTGCCGCTGCGAAAGCCCGGTACTTTCTAGGCAAGAAACTCGAGACTATCGAGACGCAAGACCACGGTGTACGCGTCACGTGTACCGACGGGAGCACGTATGAGGGGTCAATGGTGCTGGGTGCCGATGGGGCGCATAGCAAAACGCGGACCCTGATGCGCGAGCTGGCGCTGGCCGAGGGGCCGTCGGCTCAGCTTAAATGCAAAGACGAGGCCTCGTTCCCGGCACAGTATCGATGCCTGTGGTGCAGCTTTCCCAGACCGAGCGCCGCTGACGTAAAGGTGGGCCATGGCTCAGTCACACACTCCAAAGACATGTCGGTCATGTTTCTGGCCGGGAGGGAGCGAGGTTGGGTGTTCCTGTTCGAGCGGATACCGATGGGGCCGACGACGGAGCGGATGCGCTACACCGAAGCAGAAATGAAGGCGTATGCGGCACGGTTCGCTGAATTCCACGTGTCGAGAACACTGAAGGTCAAGGATGTGTACGCGGCGCGTTTGACTGATGGAATGGCGAATCTAGAGGAAGGGATTCTGGGGCAGTGGAGCTGGGACGGGCGGATTGTTCTGGCAGGCGATGCGTGCCACAAATTCACCCCGAACGCGGGACAGGGGCTGAATAATGGAATCCAGGATGTGGTGGCGCTGTGCAACGGGCTGCATGCGCTACTGCGAGCGACCGGTCCCGACGTACCACCGCACAAGACCTCCCTAGCCAAGGTCTTCGAGGAGTACCAGAAGATCAGGGCCGCGCCGTTGAAAGCCGACGCCAACCAGTCGCGGTCTCAACCGCGATTGGACGCCTGGGCAAGTCCATACCATCACTTCCTGGCTCGCTATGTTATTTCCTTCGCTTGGGTGATGTGGTTCCTCGTGAACTTTGTCGCCGCGCGCGCAACGAAGAAGGCCTTAGTGTTGGATTATATCCCCGCGGACGAACCGTTTCCTGACGCGCTGGTTAGCTGGGAGCATCCGCTCAAGAATGAAGTCAAAGAAGGATAGGCCAGATTGTGAGGGTTTGTTGAGGGGAAGGAGGGAGTTCTGTCATTGTGGCCCTTACAATATAGTTAATACCCTCATCATCTGTATCTGTTATTGCTGTCCCTCCCAGACCGACTTATTGTCTTCTTCTCGAAATAGCGCATCGTGCAAGACGACATAGCTCCGCCACGAAGTCTCGCATCAAGTGGACATCAACACAATAGCCAAAGTAAGTGTGTGACCCTGCCGCCCGAGAAAAACGTGCCGCAATTGTGTCGAGCAAGTGAACGTCGTCCAGCGTCTGCGAGTCACCGGGATCGTTCAGCACTTTGCAAAAGAGGTTCATGACCCCTGAAAGAACATAGTAGATCTCAAACCTGAGCGTAGCCCAAAAAAAGAACGTCAGCCTGATAACAGTTGGAATCGTACGCGGTATGCGAAGAGAGAATCGGATCCTACCAAAACACCTCCTGTGCCAATGCATCTTGCATGACAAGGAACTGTCGCAGAAGTGCGCGACTCGCGTTGGCCGCAACCTCTAAGCTCAAAGTGATGCCCAAGGCTCGGCTGCTGGGATCGGCTATCCATGCCGCGCATCCCGTACTCATCTGATGAATGGCAGCAATGCAGTATTGGTGTTGTAATTGTAGCAAGCACGAGCGCAGGTAAATCTCTTCCTGGGTGAATACCACTCCCTGGTCATTGTTCGGCAACTGCAGGCTTCGATACCACTCATTCAATCCATCATCCAGCTCTCGAACGGTCTTCAACAACTCCGCATCAGAGGCTAGTGCGGCTTGAGGAGAGTACAGCTTCCTAGTTATCTTGGATTGAACAAGGCTGAGCCTGATGTCTGTGGGGAAGAAAAATGCAAGATTAAGATTCGCTGGGGTTTGATGGTCGTGGTAGCCAAATTCCATGGCGAGTTCGTCTTCATCTGGGAGAGTGAGGTCACAGTGATCGTCGCAAATTGCTGGGGGGCGGCCGGTCCTGAGAGAGAGTTCCCTGTCGCAGAGGTAGGCTAACCAGAACAGGAATCGACAGTGTAAGTTGAAGACGGTGGGTGATTTCTGGACATGCCGATGTAGATGGCCCCCAAGGGTGAAAATGTGGCGGACCGAGGCCTGGAAGACCAAGTCGACTGAGTTGGGGGCACTGAAACGGAGCAGTCGAAAAAGAGACTATAACAGTGATGAGCGAGCGGACTTTACCCCTAATATGCCTGCAAGGACGGGATAGCTCATGTACAATCTCCCGGAAAGAAGAAGGTGCCCAGAGGATTTCAGGCCACCCAGAGAAGAGACCACAACTCCTGAGCATATGACACAATACGCCTCCAAATCTTCAAAGGAACAAACAGCCGCGTTGGTAGATCAGAGGGCGTGAACACAGGATTTGACTTACGAGCATCAGCAATGCTTGGATCCCATCTATTGTGGCCGCTCCATCTAAAGTCTCTGACAGAAGATACTGCGCTTGGTAACCATACTCTTGAATATTGTTATCATCAGGCAGGGCTTGACCGAAGGGCCAAGAATTCATGAATGCCATGAAAGCAAAAATACAGGCTCTAGCCGTGGAAGGATCAGGTGAAGCATCCGATGCTTTATTCTCGTATGCTGCCTCCATGGTATAATGAAATAGGTCTGGGTGGAGCAGAGGGAAAAAGCGATGCACCCAGAAACGTCTGAAGGACTGGAATACCAACAGTACCTTGCTCCTATCCGGTAGGTCAGGATGATCATGGGTCTGGAAGTACTCCCTTGTAGTCGCCAAGCCGCCCACAGATTGGCTTTGTCTTCGCGGACTGTTTAAAGACAGGCGATCGAAATCAATGGTCTGACCGGTGCGCGATTCCATCCACTGCCGACTCTCGGTGGTGAAGAAGGGCAGTCCATTAGAAGCACGAAGATGCGTCGGAACATGTCCCATGATGTGATCAATAGCGACAGGTGAGCGATGGGACGATCCTCGTTGGGTATTCGAGTCAGAAGGTGACTTGACCTGAGCTGTGGATCCATTCGCCGGTCCCTCTGATGCTTGCTGCTGTTCTCCCATTGGAAACAACAATCTGCTCGATGAAATTATTAGCGTTTCTTGGGCATGGACCGCGAATTACATACTCGTGATCGTCCGTTGAGGAAGGCTGGTTGAAACGGTGGTTGCGATCGAAGGTACATTGCAGGCCCTGCTGCATGCACCATTCGCACGGAATCCTGTCCCGATAACATTTGATCTGGATATTATTAGAAACAGGCTTCCAGGGGGGGGGGGGGGGGCGTGAGCGCCCCACCTTTCTGCGAAAGCAGGAGTCGCATGCAAGACGCGTGCGTGCGCGAGATTGAGAGTCGTTGGCTTGCCGAGACATTTGCGAAACGAGAGATGTAGAATGTAGAATGTAGAATGGGGGATATTCGGAGAAAAGTGCCAGTGGTTGATGCCAGCCTGGAGCCGAGCGGGTGATTGCCTAACTAGTGGCTGACTTATGCAAGTATGGATGACTAAGCAATACATTACACTTCCAGCACAGCCGTATATCCAACTATCAACCAGTTATTGTAGAATCACGCCTTACGCAACATAGAACCTCGCCAGACTCTGCCTCTCATCACACAGATGAGCGCCCAAGCGATTTTCTAGTTGTAAGGCCCATGAAAGGCCGCTTGAACAGGTGGAAACTCGCGATCCTGAACCGCCCACGCCGCCTCGCTTAAAACCGCATCCGGGAGCACGAGGATGGCATTGGCGGTTACCGTCGAGACCAGTAATTTGATGCGAAACTGCCCTACCCACTCGTGTATTTCCTTGCAATACTGCATAGCACAGAGAGTGAGTCTCGGTCCAACACACATGTTCAGCCTTAATAGAATTCAAGCCTACATCTGGAGGAACCATACTAACCTGTTCCGAAATCACCTTCAGCAAATGAGTATAGGTCGGCTTCAAGATGACGGTGTTGGCAGTCACCCGGTGCTCTCGATAGGACTCTAATAGCTGAGAAGGAGCGTCTGGGCAATCAATGTGTCGAGGGAGTCGGTGATGGCCCGGGTTTGGGACTAAAGGAGCGGGATGCTGTCCTTCGTAAGTTGAAGCGCTGAGATGGTCTTATCAAGAGTAACAACATCGACGCCGATCTTCAGAAGGGTGGCGATCACATCGTCAACGCCGGTGCTTGGGTCGATATTCTGGAGTGGGCTATCTGGGGTTGCGGCGGGATGGACGTCTTGCTGAGAGCTGCCTTCGGAGATAGGTTTCCCCAGCAGTTTCGATGCTATAGCAAGTAGTGTGAAGATAGTGTAAGCAAGCTTCATTTTCATGAAAGTGTGTTGAAGTTGTGCGTGGAAAGGTGAATACAAGAGAAAGCAGGACTTTGGTGGCTGAAGCTGCAGAAAGTGGGTGGTAATCGCGGCCGGTGGTTTTGGTTGTATTTAGACCCAGAGTCAAGTCGTACAACCGAAAAAAAGTGTATAGCACGAAAGCCTGTGGTGGTAGTGCTTGCGATGGCAATACAGTGCAACCCGTTGACCTGTCATACCTATTAGAGTTTGGTACCTGGAGAGACGGACCTGGAAGGAAATGCATAAGATGTAACTCGGCACATGCTGTGACTTCATCGATAGTCTGAGACGTGATACGCTGCGTACACGAAGGTAGAACAAAACTAGCCAATGTGTGGTTGTAGGTGATGAAGGTAAGAGTCTCTATCCCACTTTATTGCACCAATATCACAGATCTTGTTCGAGGTCAAGCTTCGAATGCATTAAGGCTTCCACTCAACCTTGATTTATCCGAAGGTAAAGTATAAAAATATCAAAATCAAAGATTTCGATCTCTCTTCACCGTAGCAGTGGCATTTCCTACCCGTTATATGTTTTCCCCAGGGGTTAACATGAGCCACCGCTTGATATTCTTTTGGTAGTGGCTTCAGACAACCGTTATATTCGAGAAGTCTCGGAGATAACAAGGAGGGTCAGTTCTCTTGCCGGTTTCACCGTTACGGGGAACGACCCATAGCATCATGAATAAACAATGCTCGGGGGGAAGGAGCTGCACAAGCACGTGGCTTACATCTGCTAACCCTCTTATTACTTATGTGGCCGGCGTCAAGAGAAACAAAGATCCCAAAAATCGATAGACGAAGATCGGACTTTCGCCTATCCACACGCAGGGTTTGGCTAATCCTTCACGCACATGTCTGTCTGTCCCAGAAGACAATGCAAATTAATCCGGCGTAGGTAACATTCCTAAGCGACGTCCTGGGCCCCATCGTGCAGACCATCCTCGTCCAGTCTATTTCCTTCAGCGTCCCACTGCGGCGGGGTCTGCATTAGTGCCACTCGCTTGGTACACGGGAGGAGAGCTAATCCCAGAGGAATGATTGGCCTACATGCTTGATATCCTTGCAGATTAAAATTGGCCATACTGGATTCGATAACAATACGGGCTTATATTTGATGTCACATATGCATGTCCCCTCACGGTGGTGAAATAATATAAGCCTAGACTGACGGTGAGAGAAACCCCCCAAAATTACAATAATTCAGACACGCGCACTTCTCACTATGTTCTCAAACTTTTCGACAATACTTAACCCCACAGGCTTTTTCTACTTGGTTGGGATCTGGGTTGCGTCTCGTCTCGTCCGCGCCCTGTACAATGTCTCCCCCTTCCACCCCCTCAGCCACATTCCAGGCCCGAAGCTCGCAGCTGCCACATTTCTGTATGAGGCTTGGTTTGATTTAATTAGAGGGGGTCGCTTCACCCACGAGATCAGGCGATTGCACGAAATTTATGGTTCGTTGTACCGCTGCCACGCTTGGCCCTGTATCTGACGCCGAGAGACCAGGTCCGGTGGTGCGCATCAACCCAGAGGAGCTACATTTCAACGACCCCAATTTCATTGACGAGGTGTACCCCACCGCCGGGCGCACACGAGACAAACAGGTTCACTATGTCACTTTTGCCACCGGCCCTACTGCTGAGGCGATGTTTGCGACCATTAACCACAAACACCATCGCATCCGACGCGGCGCGATGAACAAATTCTTCTCGCGTGCACAGATTGCGCGGCTGGAGCCTGAAGTTAAGAGGCTGACCGACCAGCTCTGCGACAAAATTATCCGGCTCGGTAGGGATATAAGCCAGCTCTCTCGAGAGAATCTCGCTGAACCGCTGATTCCCAGGCACCAAGGACCACGAACCGCTCGATATCACTACCGCGTATAGCTGCTTCACCGCGGACGTCATCTCCGGCTACTGCTTTGGCGAGTCCTTCGGATTCGTGGAGCAGGAGGGCTGGGAGCCCAACTTCCGAGACGCCGTTGTGGGTCTATTGGAGACGATCTTTCTCTTTCGGTTCATACCTGTAACCAAGCTTCTGGTACCTTTAGTCCCGTTCCTGTGGAGATGGCTGCCCCGATCATTGCAGGTGTACATGGACGAGTCGACGGAGAAGATGCCGGCTCGCGTCCGCCAAGCGAGGCGGGAGTTCGAGACGGGGACCATCCCCAGCCGGCCGACTATCTTCCACGCCCTGCTTACTTCTTCATTGCCGGAGGCCGAAAGGACCGACTACCGGTTGACCGGGGACGGTTTGTCGCTGAACACCGCGGGGACGGAGACAACCGCCGTAAGTACCACCCTTTCAACATTCAGATCGGTTCCCAGCACTCAACAAATATGCAGTGGACCCTTACAGTCGCAACCTACTACCTCCTGGACCAGCCAGAGACGCTTGCCCGCCTTGTGGAGGAACTCCAAGCCGCCGACGCCACCAACCGAACGTGGAACGAACTCGAGAAACTACCCTACCTGAGCGCGGTGATCGCCGAGGCACTCCGCCTGTCCTACGGAGTCAGCCCGCGGAGCCCGCGGATTGCGCCGAACGAGCGCCTCGTCTACCGTGGACGGTTCCAGGGGCGGGAGGTCGTCTACGACATTCCCCCAGGCACGCCCGTCGGCATGTCCAATGCGATCAATCACCACAATGAGGAAGTGTTTCCCGATTCGCATAATTTCAGAGTGGAGCGCTGGCTTGAGGCGGATGAAGCTCAGCGCCGCCGGATGGAGACGGGTTTGACTTCGTTTTCGAGGGGAAGTCGCTCATGCGTTGGAATCAAGTATGTTTCAGCCTTGCTACAAATTGAATACAGTTGTGCTCACGCTCCATGCTAATCTCTATGACAATCAGTCTCGCATACTGTAACCTCTACGTGGCAATGGCGGCCCTCGCGGTGCGAGTGCTCCCCCGGACGAAACTCTACCAGACGACCGTGGAGGATGTGGCGTACGATCATGATGTTTTTGTAGGGGTGCCAAGACGGGAATCGAAGGGGGTGAGGGTTGTGGTTTCTTGAGAGAAACTTGAGAGTGAGGATGAGCCAATGGTCGGGCTTTCTTATGTATGGCTAGAATCATGCACGCATTCATCCAGTAGGGGTCATTCTCCCATCGTCAACCCAGAGCTCTGAAGTGTGTGAAGGCGAAGACACGCTACGCTTCTATACGTTCCCATACCTGTAAGGCTATACTGGATTACCGATCAGATTCAAAGCCGGCTGACACGGCGGGATCACCACTCCATTTGTAGGCTTGAGAAATGGTTACGGTGGGGGCGGGGCGGGGCGCGGCCGGGACGGACCGGCGGGATTCTCCACCAGGACGACAGTCAAGCCTTTGCGCCAGTCGACATGGGAAGGGCAATGTTGAATATTCTTGAAAGCAGGAAAGAGACTGTAGCACAAAGAATACTACGCGTCTAGGGACTCTCAGCATGCCCGCCATTTCTCATAGTGTGAATGTCATGAAGAGCCTGGGTATCTGTATCCGATGAGTATAAACACATCAAATGCCATTAACCGCCTCATTACTAGAGCACATGAAAAGGGGATCATCAATCTGGTCACAGCTTCAGATATCACACCCTACCAGCCCCGCATGAACCTTAACCAAGCATCTAGATGCTATGCAGGGGGTTCCAGGGCCGCCAGATGAATTTTCACCAATTAGAATTCCAACACACAATACGCAAGATATCCCTACCAGCAGCCAACCCTGGACATGTCCAGTTGGAGCAAAGTTCATTCCTTGTAGGTCTACACCATAGACCCATCATATACGTCCAGCACACCTATCCAATACCCCTATACATCCACCACTTCCACCCCAAACCAGCAAGCCCAAGCCTCCAACCCCAATCCCGCTGCCAAAAACACCCATCCACCAACATCCCCAAAATCTCACCACCAACCCCCTTTCCAAAAACCCCTACATCACAAAATACTCCTATGACGCCCCAATGACGTCCTACCCCTCGCGCAAGCCCCCCAAAAAAGAATGCCGCGACTGGGACTCGAACCCAGAATCTGCACTCCACACCGCTAGCATAAGGCTAGTACGGGGGCTCTGCAATGTTAATACCACTACACCACCGCGGC